GCAGACCTGTCCCGGCTTCCATCTCTGAATCCAGACGTCCCACAAACACGGCTCTCAGCCCAGGCTTGGCTGGCACACACCGTATTTCCCCCAAAGGAGCCCCGGACAGGGAATCAGAGCCCCGACTCTGGCAGGGAGCCTGCACAGGTGACGAGCAGGTGTCCTCCAAGCGCTTTTGCGCTCACCGTGTCTTCAGTGCCTTCCAGAACTTCCGGAAGATGGGCACTGTCTTCTCTGACAGGTGAGAAAACAAGTAGAGAGGGAATGTGACCTGTGGGGCAGACGGGCGAGGAGCCAGGCCCCGTCCACAGGGGGTGGGACTCCCGCTAGAAACAACGACGCTCTTGCAGACGGCCGGTGGCCTGAGCATGGCAGCTGCCACGGGTGAAGATGGCGAGCAGCTGACATGCATCCAGAAACCGAAACTAAAATCCCAGGACCCGGATACACAGTGAGCAGCTGTGCCCATCAGATCACGTACACGGACTGCTGTCTTCAGGGCAGCAGCCGTGGGGTCCCCAGCAAGCCACTTCACCTGTGTGCCTCAGTTCCCTCATGGGTAGGCGAAGAGTGCCTCCCAGGAACCAGAGAGCTGAGGGTGGGAGGAGGGGGGGCTCCCTCCATGTCATTGTCCAGGTGACTTCTGTCCAAGTGACTTAAGACCTCACTTCTTCCGGGAAGCCCCGACGAGCTCCCTCCAGCAGCACTGGGAGGCCTGCCGTCAGCCTGGCCCCTCCCTGGGCAGTGCCTGTGGTCTATTCCCCACAGAGAGCCCCGCCTTCTAGGGGCCGTGGGCACCAGCAGGGCAGAGAGCAGAACAGCAGCTCAGCTGCAGCTAGCCAGCGTCTCTCAGGGGACACACCTGCAGCCCCCACTTTACAGGTGAGGAAACTGAGGCGCAGAGGGCTTACATAACTTGCCTTGGTTCTCACGGAGCCAAGACTTGAACCCAGGGTCCCCACCCCTAAGCACTACGCCACTGAGTGTCAGGGTGGACAGGCACACAGGTGCCAGCCAGGGCTGCAGGCGCAGACAAGCATCCCGGAGCCCCTGCTAGGCGGTGCGGGTTGTTCGCTAAGAGGACACAGGGAGGACTCGGGGCCTGTCCGGCTCCAGGTCAGATGCTGAGGTCCGCGCACACTCCCCTCCCTGCCGCTCGATCGGTCACTCCCGCCCGCCCCCCATGCCAGGATCCTCGCTTCCCAGAGGCAGAAACCAGGGCCGGGCGGCCAAGCCCGGCGTCTGCCAGTGAGCTGCCCGCCAGCCTGCCCAGCGGGGGGCAGAGCAGGACCCTTCCCTGCAGCGGGCCTGCCCACCAGCTGCACCCGGCAGGGGCGGGGTCTCCATTCTCGGGGCTGCTAACTCTTGGGGCCAAAGCAGGTGTGGGCGGCAGCTTCTCCAGGGCTGTTGGGGG